ATGCTTTTTAAGATTTCTAGAAAATGAAGAACTCAATTAGACGTTGGTGGAGTTATTTCAACTCCTTGAAAACAACAGTTTGTGGTATGCCATTCTGTTATCATTTCTGTTGCTGCTGTTTTGTTCGAGTTGTGATTTGCTCTTTGCGGATTGTAACAATCTGTGCCTTTGCATCGAAGCGAGACAACCGTTGAGTGTGCAATGATAGAAACCTTCTTTCACACCTACAGACAATTATTCACAGGTTTCTATCATTGCACGCTCAACGGTTGTCTCGCTTCAATGTAAAGGCACGGCTATCTTTCAAGATGGCGCATGTAACCGTGAAGGAAACATCAAAACTCTTATTGGAGATTTGGACAGTTGCCAGACGCATTTATTTTTTAAGGAAATGACGTCCGTCCATCACCAGAATATCCTACTTTACACCGACATGTGAATGAGCCGCCGGTATTTGTACAGCGTGCATTAGCATGGCAATTATGCGCACCAGATGTGCATTCATCGATGTCTTAAAAGCAAACGAATGAATAAAAATAAGAAGAATTAAAATTATTATAATAGACAAATGGTTGATAGAACCAAAATCAGTGGATTCATGTGTCTTAAAAGATTAGAATGGAATCTATCGCCGGCCTGTTCCAAAGTGTATATACGAGTTATAAAGAAAAAGGTCCGTTTCTGGAAATGTCAATATTAGATGAAAATCAGGCGGGGTTAAACGAGAGATAGATCTGAAGAATTTCTAAGAAAACGTTTGGAAAGAACGGCTAGAGTTTGAATGATTATTGTCATTGTAGGAATGCGTTTTGACTCAGAAAACGATTGTACCAAAATAATACCTAAGCACGTGTTGCCATTTCCTTGGAAGCCTGATTTGCACTTGCAAGTATACGAGCCCACGTTGTTAGTACAGCGTGCATTAGCATGACAATTATGCGTACCAGTTGAGCATTCATCAATATCTGCAAATAATAAATAAGTCAATTAAAAAAAAAAAACAGAGAAAGAAAAACAATGATTCGTTGCTTCAAGCTTATACTAACATGAGAGAGCAACAATGAAGTACCTGAGCATGAACGGCCATTTCCATGGTAACCTGTTTTACACTGGCAGGTGTACGAGCCCACGTTGTTAGTACAGCGTGCGTTTACATGGCATTTATGCGTTTTCAGTTTACATTCATCAATATCTATAGAGATAAAGAAAACAATAAAAATTTTAATGCATTTATTTCTTCAATTTTGAGTGTTCACAGATCGCTAAAAAATGTACCTGAGCACGTGACTCCACTTCCTTGGTAACCTGATTTGCACTTGCAAGTATACGAGCCCACGTTGTTAGTACAGCGTGCATTAGCATGGCAATTATGCACACCAGATGTGCATTCATCGATATCTGCAGATAATAAATGAGTAAATAAAAAACAGAGAAAAACAGAAATAAAAACAATGATTCGTTGCTTTAAGCTTATAATAACATGAAAGAGAGCAACAATGAAGTACCTGAGCATGAAAGGCCATTTCCATGGTAACCTGTTTTGCAATGACAGGTGTACGAGCCCACGTTGTTAGTACAGCGTGCGTTAACATGGCAATTATGCGTTCTCAACTTGCATTCGTCAATGTCTAAAAGAAGAATGAGCACATATACTACAATGTTATTCCACTGACAAGTTTAGTTACAAATGATTTCAGGCATGATAGATTCCTTCATTTTTGAATACATGTTATTAGGGACTGCGAAATATTTATCAGGAGGAGGGGCTGAGAAATGAGCAAAAAT